CGGACAAGTCAAATCAAGCAATCTGATTGGTTCTTAGCCGTGATATACTGAGCGTATACCACGGGTAGAATTGTAAGTTACTTTTCACAACAAGTCAGTATCCCTCCGCGTCTGAGAAAAACAGTATACCGTTGGGCTGAAAAATAAACTGCCTGCATACTGGAACAAGAAAGCAGCGGAGAAGTAACGGGGCAGAAACCCTCCTTTTTACGCAGCGGTCTGGACATAGACATCAAACGGCAAAACATATTCAGTGTGCAGTTCATTTGGCATTAGGGCAGGGATATCTAGATACTTTTGAAGGTTTAACATAATGAATTGTGCTACTTTTAAAGCAAGCAACGATGTTTTCAAATCTGTAATCAAAGAGGTCCGCAAAAACGCTATCGACCAATCAGATTGCTTGATTTGACTTGTCAGTTTTATAAATATATTTAAATGTCTTCCGTTACGAAACAAACTTACAAAGCATAAAATGGAAACATTTAAGATTAACTTCGACCTCCGGGGGGGTCTTACTATGCGTCGGGCCGAACCACGCCCCTTAGCTGTTATATAATGAGCATATACCACGGCCTGTCGTGAGCTATTGCTTAAATATTAAAGACTCAAAATGTCGCCGTCTCTTCCTCACAGTGAACGGTAATCGCTCCGTTTCCTCGTCCGTCATCAACGACAAGTACAAAGTGGGGAAAGTGATCGGAGACGGAAACTTCGCCGTGGTGAAGGAGTGTGTCGAGAGGTGAGAGCAACAAGAGGGGCGTTTAAAAATAAATAAATATCCAACTTACTGTATTTATTTGTGGCTTTTCAAGTAAGTATAGACAGTAAAAACATACGGACGCCCTGAGGGATGAAACTCTGATAATCCTGATTTGTTGTCATTAAAAACACGTGAAATCAGAGGTGTTTTACCAGGAAGTCGTTGTTTATCTGTAAAAAAAGGTGCCACATGTAACACTTACACACCTAACATATGGTCGGTGATAAAAGCAAAAACGTATTTTGAAATCAGATGCAGAGGAAGGATGTAACTTGTGTTATAGAATGTTTTAACACTTACATTCACATTTTTCATGAAAACACAAAATGAAAGTAGACGGTAATAATCGCATCGTTCCATTTCTGTACCATTTGAACAAATGATTATTAAAAATTCAACAGATAAATGAATTGATATCACCCTAGTGACTTTAATGTAAATAGAATTTTTGTAAAGATTGATGTACATTTGTTTGATTTTCAGGGCGACGGGACAGGAGTACGCTCTGAAGATTATTGATAAAGCTCGCTGCTGCGGGAAGGTAACGCTAATTTATATTAATATGTTTTTATCTTTTATTGTATTTCAAAATAAGACAGAGTAAATGTCACTATAACTGTGTGTGTGTGTGTTCAGGAGCACCTGATAGAAAACGAGGTGTCGGTGTTGCGGCGAGTTCGCCATCCGAGCATCATCGAGTTAATCGAGGTGGACGAAACGCCGAGTCAGCTGTTCCTCGTCATGGAGCTCGTTAAGGTGCGTCCTCTTCTACTTCCTGTTTACCTTTAGGGAATAGAGTGGTGCAGGAATGAGTCCTAAAACGAGGGGAATGAGTCCCTAAACATCATCACTCCCAACATTAGCCGCCTTTAGCTTAGCGGTGGTGACGTGAAGTGATGTGACCGCGCTGTAGTTCCTTTATAGCCCAACATTAGCCACCTTTAGCTTAGCGGTGGTGACGTGAAGTCATGTGACCGTGCTGTAGTTCCTTTATAGCCCAACATTAGCCTCCTTTAGCTTAGCGGTGGTGACGAGAAGTCATGTGACCGTGCTGTAGTTCCTTTATAGTCAAACATTAGCCTCCTTTAGCTTAGCGGTGGTGACGTGAAGTCATGTGACCGCGCTGTAGTTCCTTTATAGCCCAACATTAGCCTCCTTTAGCTTAGCGGTGGTGACGTGAAGTCATGTGACCGCGCTGTAGTTCCTTTATAGCCCAACATTAGCCACCTTTAGCTTAGCGGTGGTGACGTGAAGTCATGTGACCGTGCTGTAGTTCCTTTATAGCCCAACATTAGCCTCCTTTAGCTTAGCGGTGGTGACGTGAAGTCATGTGACCGCGCTGTAGTTCCTTTATAGCCCAACATTAGCCGCCTTTAGCTTAGCGGTGGTGACGTGAAGTCATGTGACCGCGCTGTAGTTCCTTTATAGCCCAACATTAGCCTCCTTTAGCTTAGCGGTGGTGACGTGAAGTCATGTGACCGTGCTGTAGTTCCTTTATAGCCCAACATTAGCCGCCTTTAGCTTAGCGGTGGTGACGTGAAGTCATGTGACCGTGCTGTAGTTCCTTTATAGCCCAACGTTAGTGGAAGTCTTTAAATATTCTATGTAAAAATTACAAAACCATTTGAAATATACAGTTTTTTATTTCATGTTTTTCTGCAGTAAAATAAAACTTTTCAGCATGTAAAAATAATCCAAAACAAACATACGTATATTTTCCTCAAACTGCAGGATACAGTTCATGTGTCGAACACAGATTTTAAAATAATCTACATAAGGTGTGTGTGTGTGTTTGAGACCGGACACACACACACAGCTACTCAGTGTTATTCATGATACACGAACGATACCACTGAAGGATACTGTAGGTTAACCTACTTTACTATAACCACAAACATACAGTGGTTATATTACACAGAGAGAACTGGAGGGAGGAGGGTTTTGTGGTGAAATCATTGAGAATATACCGGAGCGATTGAAGTATTTGATCTGACATTTGTAATACTTCTGCTGTGAATAAAATAGAAATGCTTTATCGTAGGGCTGAACAATGAATGGGAATGTTAACGCAATTATCAAATATAGTTTCCCCACAGCAGACGCATATTAATAACATCCGCTGGCGCGCCATAAATACGTCGATAGTGCGGCCCGTCCACACAGTGCGTTGACGCTTCACCATTCACTTTGAATGGGGTGACGTCACTTTTTGCCGAACTGCATT